CCCGCCCTTCACCTCTGTTTTTGGATGAGGAAATGATCTTAGTGCAGATTATGATTTATTTTTGTTTCAAAATTTATCAAATTTTGTTCATTGCAGTACAAATGAATGTAAAATAAGACCTAAAGCACAATAAAATAAAATACAAAACAAAATTAAACCAGAATTTGCACTCTCTTGCATTTATATTAATATAAATAAAATTGAATTGCAATCAAACACAGCCTTAGATTCCAACACTCTAATGCAGCTGTTAGTATTCATTTAGTTGTGAAATTTTAGGAGACCATTTTGCCTCTCCTTTATTTTTGATTAGATATACTTTCTTCGATGAATATTGATTGATTAGAATCAACAATGGACAATCTAGTCCTTTCAACTCTCATTCCTCTTTTTTAAACAAGTGAAATGATAAAAAGAAAAAAGATTAAAAAAATTCAAAATTTGGACTCTATAGATGCAATAAAAGAGAGGACAAAATGGTTTCATAAAAATTCATAACTGATGGAATGCTAGAGTGTTCGAATTGGAAAGTATAAAGTAGTCCTCTATCACATATGAAAATTTGGAGACCTAAGCATCTCTACCCCATAGAGTATAGGGTAGTTCTCTGTATTAAGGGAGTATTCGACGAAAAGGTTAGTTTTGTTTTTGAGAAAAAAAAAAATTTGTCACATCAGCAAAATTATATTGTTTACGGTGACGTGACTGTTGTTTATGTTAGAATGGCCTTCGAAGAGATTAGGATTACTAATAGAGAAAAGAGTTGAATTCTATCCCTAGGGTGGTTGTGCTCCTAAACCATACCACTTTTTTTTTTTTGTGAAAATGAAAATATTGGATTTGAACCATCATAGGCATTCTAATGTGGTTGTGGTTGTGGTTGTGGTTGTGGTTTGAATCATATAGAACCACTACTATCGTTCTGTTTGTGGTTCATTTTTTGGACTCAAACATTATTAGTTTTTCTATGTGACTCACATGTGTAAAAGTAATTCATGTACTATCCTTCAATTTTGATCTTACTACTATTTATTTACCATATGTGTACTTGTTTATCATATGTGAATAATAATATATAATATGTTAAATGTGATAAATATATATAATTATATATGTTTTCACGTGTATAAAATATATAGGGTTAATTACTTATATATACCCTGTATATTTAGAAAATTAGTTAAATGTACCTAAATTTTAAAACCTACTTATATATACCTTAAGATGGCCCCACATAACATAAATAGGCCATTGTTAAAGAAAATATAAAGCTATTTGATACTCCATTATATTCTTTTGTAATCCCATTTTTACCCTTGTTCTTCCTTCCTCTCATTTTCTAACTAAACCAATGGAAGCGGCAGCTCTCTCGGAAAGGAGGCGGCAGCCACTATGATCAACATGATGCAATGATGCAGATCTAGAAAGACTGATATAGAAGAAGTTAGACAACCAAGTCTGACGAGAAGAAATCACAAAATGGATTCATAGACCTGGAACAAAGATGAACTCAAAATGGAAATAAAGTAGATGGACTTAGAACTAAGGAACCTGGTTTTGCTCTAATACCATCTAAAATTTTAATTGAATAAATTTAGCTATTTATTAATATAGAGGAAACACACTATAGAGTACATGAAGCTTGTTTCACATCTGGGTTTTGGATTTTGAAAATGAAGGCTGTTATGGGTTTTAAAAACGAAGGTTGCTTGATTGTTTTACATCTACGTTTTGGGTTTTGAAGACAAAGCTTGATTCATTGGTCTAAAAGGATTAGAGAGTGATGATGAGATAAGGAGAGTGTGATAAGAAGCGCAACTATCAGTCCATGTATATCCAGAAAATAGTAAAGGCGAAGGTTATGATGGTTAATGGCTTTATTGGTTAAGGCTTTGTGGAAGTGGTTCAAGAAAAAGAAAGAATATTGTTATGGTATGTTTTAAAAATTTAATAAATAGTTAAGACATTTTTGTGTTTTACAATTTATCTGCTAGACTTAACCTCTGAAAGGTTAACAAGGTATCTAGATAGATAGATAGATAGATAAATAGAATCGAGAAGGCGTGGTTTGGAGCAATGCTGAATTTGACATTTTCTCATATTGGAGCTTGTTTCTGCCTACGAGGGCATGATGTGGCAATGACGTGGACTTCCTATAATGAGTATCAGTGCTGAAAATATATATGGAGCACTGATACCAAACAGAAGCTGTTGATGTTGCTCTAGGAAAACGATGCTTCCAACTCACACATCAGCAGAGAAAACGATGTTGTATCTGCAGCATCGATGCCAAACATATACATAAGTAATTTTATTGAAAATATTGGGAATTTTGTTGGTTATGGAATCATGGTTTGCGGGTTCTAGAACCGACAACAAAATAAAAATCCCTTTCAACCACAAAAAAAATCACCCCTTTAGATTGTGTGGAATATGAACGTCTCTATTGTATATAACCATCTTTTTCCTTATTCTCCTTTCCCAAATCTCATTTAGGCTATGTTTAGTTCCGTGGGCGTTTACTACAAAAACGCTGCCACATAAGTGCCACATAGGCATTGGCGTTTATTGCATATGAAACCATTGTTTGGCTTCACTGTTAATCAAATAAACACTAAAAAACTGAAACGCTTTGATTTATGTGCATGGGCCATTTGAGGGAAACGTCAAAATCTTGTTTCCCCCAATGCATAAGCATTTCTTGAAATGAAATGCTAATGTGGTGCACTTTAAGCTAAGGTGAAAAGCAACTTTATGGGGTGTTACTTGAAATGCCCATAAAATATCCAGCCAAATAGAAGAAGCAAAAAACATTTAAAGCAGCATTTTTCAGATAAACATTTATCTGGCAATCACTCCCTCAATACGCCCACGAAACCAAACACATACTTAAGAATTAAGAGGGTTTTCTCAATCCCCCTTGGTTTTTCCATTCTAGTGAAGTAAAGGAAAAATGTAATAATTAAGAAGCATCATAGCAAGAAAAAGAGAAATATCATTATAGGTAAAAGTTTGGGCAAATATCTTGAAGTACCCCCAAGTTTTAGGAAATTGACTTACTCTACCCCTGCTGTTTGAAATTGCCTTAAAATACCCTTAAGTTTTTTGACAATTGACTAAGTCTTCCCCTTCCGTTAGCATTAGTTAGTGTTCTACCACAATCAGTTCAAATGTGACACAACATGATGTATAATTTTTTTTTTAATTTTAATATTACTCTTTTTGGTCAATTTGGCCTCCATCATTCTTCAATTTTTCAAAATAAAACTCAATTGATCCAAAATTTTAACGCCTCTATTGTTAGAAACCTGGACCGCCAATAATAGAGCATCCCAAAGTTTGGTTTGAGAATTTGTTGACACCTTTTTTATCTCTTTTTTTGTGTCTTTTCTCAGTTTGAGCATTTGCGGGCTTTGTTTATAACTTTGAACTGCATTTTTTGTTTCAAATGTCATTTGGTGTTTTTTCTTAGTTTGAGCATTTGGTGTCTACATTTCTATGAATAGCAGGTTTATTGGAATGTTTCATTTTGAAAATTTAAAAAAAAAAAATGATGGGTAAATAGTCTTTTCCATCTTTCCATTAATAGACACTGACGAAGGGAAGGATGTAGTTAATTGTTAGACAATTTAGGGATAATTTAAGACAGTTTCTAAGTAGTAGGGGTAGAGCAAGTCAAATTTCCTAAATTTAAGGGGTACTTTAAGAGATTTGTCCTAAAACTTTTCCTCTTTCTTATTACAACACAACATGCCCTTTAGACTCCGGCAGTGGAAAGCCAATTTTCTTTTAACTGTTGTCTTTTACTTTCTCCCGTTCTTTTTGCAACCAAATGCGGCATTACATCATTACAGTGGCCAGCAAAATCAATATGAAAATATTAAAGATTTTGCATCTTCATTCTTTTTTAGGGTAAAAGGAGATTTACTATTGAGAAAGGCCAGAAAAGCAAAGTTCAGATTTACATGGCATCTTAAGCAGGATTCAGCGGAGGGAATTGGGACTGAGCCCAGGGAGACCGGGGAGGTTGCCACAGGGCCCAAGACATGGGCCGATCAATTAAGCCACCTGGTCAAAAGATCTAGACATGTCCAGGATACCTCTAAAGATGGGCTAGAGTAGGGCCATCAAAAGGTCGGGTCTGGGTAGAACCGGAAGGTCCGGAACCAGTCCAACAAAAAATATCAAGAAACCAATACCGAACCATACCCTATAGGGTCTATAATTTTAGACCCAGAATTGAACCAATTGGTTCTCAGGATATCGAATCTAACCCGATGGACCAGATTAACTGGGTAGAACCAATTCCAAACCAATAATAATTGAAAGTTTGGAACAATAAATCAGAAACTGAAACCGACTCATCGGTTCCAGATCCGTCATTTAAGACCCCATTGGGGATTCCCATTGACTGTTTATTGTTTAACTAGGCAATGCCAATTCCATCTATTAATGAATTACTCGGTATTCAGCTCGCAAGAAACCCATGAAACCAGAAGATATGCAGAAATGTCCATGCTTGTGCTTCCTGGTTCCCTGCAAAGATCGTAAAGCAACCTCACTTTGTCCAAGGGAATCCCTCAAAGCTTATATGAGAGATGATGAAAAGAATTTTCTTAACAGCTATCCGTCAATCGCTTGCAACATGTACACCAAGAAGGTACTGAGATTACACCTCGACTCAAGTAAAAGCTCTCATCTCCCTTCTTGACAAATTGAACACTATTCACAATCCAAGTATCCAACTATCAACCCAACCACAGATTCCATGCCAACCAAAGAAAGGAAATACAAAAATGATTGCTTGGGGAAAGTTCAGCAGAAGTTGCAACAACTCCCAGGTGAATCTGGTCTCATATATAGATTAACTTGGGCGATATACAGAGTGGAATAGTTGCAGCTACAGACCAGATTAAGCCGTTAGTGATGCTTATGAAGGAATTTACTCTTGAAGAGATTATTTGAGAAGATTCTATCAATAGAGTAAAAGAAAGAACCCATTTGAGAAGAGCTTGATTCAACTGATTCATAATCATCTGCATTCAAATCATGGTACTGGAGTACCAAGTGTATCATATTCTACGCCCTTATTTCACAAATATTGTGTCTAGCCTGCTTATAAGATGAGTATTTTTAACTGAACCAACACAACAAGAAGTAGATTGTAGCATGTCTCTCTCTGCAATATTCAACTACACTAAACAGAGAACTCCTTGGAGGAAATTAGATTGATGAAATACATGTCCCATACCTTTTGAATGCCGAATGCTGAAAACTTGCAAGAAAAAAACGATTTACTCTCTTTCAGCGCTATCTCCATTTTTCACCTCCTTTGGATGGACCTGATGGTGTTCCTTCACTTGATCAACCGGTGTGTTCTCCGATGGCCCATCTTCTGCAGGTTTAGCAACATCATCTTGCTTCATAGCTTCAGAGGAATCACTAGGGGAAAGTCCATCAGTTACTGGAACAGTTTTCTTAATAGTTCCAACCTTAAAATACTTGCTCATAAACTTGTATTCCCAGTCCTGTAAGGCATCTAGTTCAAAAGGACCAAGCCCTGAGATATCGCTAGTTAAATCCTTCTCTTCAAAGGACATCTTTGCAAGAGCTCTACTTGCGTCCTTCCCAGCGAACAATGCATATGGACCACCAGGTCCATAAAACATTCTGCAAGAAAGTATGGATAAACAGGTAAATTAAGTATTTACAAGATAAGACACATAAACCAGTGTTTTAAAAGTGCAAGGCAAGGCACAAAAATGCAAAAAATGCTAAAAAAATCAAAAATAATATTAAACATAAATTAATTAAAAATATAAACTTAAATTTTGAAATAAATGTTCAAAAAAACTATTGTCTAAAATTAAAATTAACCATAACATGCAAAACGTATTTAAAATGAAAGTTTAAAATAAATCAAGCATAACATTTTTTTTGGTAATTAACACAACACGTTAACAACTCAAAGAGGTAAGTGGTAACAGTGGGATTCAAATCCACATATCTGCTGGGACTACCTAGCCAATGTACCAACTGGCCACCACTCAGTTGGTAATCATGCATAACATATAAAACATATTCAAGCAAGTAAACTTCTCAATCTCTTTATTTTTTTCCCAATTGCATTACTTCATATAGCTAACGTGATCTTAAAGTAAGGTTCAAAGTATAAATACACCTCGATATGGAGCAAAGGGTGTATTGGTACTTTGAACCTAGCACTCATGAATTTTTTTTTAGTTTTTTATCAAAAATAGGTCAGGGGGTAGGTCTTAAGCCCGTCTACCCCCTGAAATAGGCCAAATTCCTCAACCCTTCTTATTTAATGTATCGGTGACCCACTGATACGATACATATTGACCGATACAGGCCAATACATGACAAAATTTTCAACCTCGGCCAAATTTCCCAACCCTTCTTATTATGCATTCTTGATTCTATGAGTCGCCTTGTGTACCAACTACCAAGCCCATCGAGGCAAACCCAAACAAGTCCATATCAGTCTTACAATTTTAATACTATAAAAAAGATTTTATAATTTTTATTGTCTTTTAAAAATATTTTTATTAGGATGAATGAATGAGCAACATTAGAAAACATTCAAAAAGCACAAACATGGGCTAAAATGCAAGGTGCACCAAGTGTGCGCCTTTTGAAAGTGTTGTGCCTAGGACCTAGGCGAGGTGCAAACCCTAAGGCCCCGTTCGTTTATTGGTAAATAAGAGGGGAAAAGTTGGTCAATGGGTATCTCTTTCCCATTGACCAACTTCACAATGTTCTTTTTGCATTAAGTACTAGGCCCCATGGTAAAGAGAGCTTCATTTACCCGGGTAAAACTTGCACATCTCCTAGGTGGATAAGTAACTTTCCCACCTAGGGGAAAGTACTGGGCCCCATGGTAATGAGACAAGTTTGCCCTTTTTAACAATGGCTTTTTATGCGTAAAAGGGTCAGTATATTACTTACCTGGGTAATATACCTGGGTAAGTGTTACCCAGGAAACATTTACCTGGGTAAGTGCACTTACCAAGGTAAGTGAGAAATTTGTAAATGAACAGGGCCTAAAATGCTCCTCACTTGTGCACCTAGGTGCACCTTCTAAATCACTGGCATAAACCAGAAATTCCATCAGAGAGAGTCACTAAAATTATTGCCCTATACATAGTTTTACAAGGGAACCCATAAGGAACAGCAATCTACATCTTTTCTCCGCTACTTGGTTGGGTGTACTAGCTATATTGTATATTCTATAATTTCAATTGCATGCTTTCTTGAACTAGCTCCATAACAATGGAGTTTGGGAAACAAATTGTCAAGTGAAGGGACCATTCCAATCTAAAGCAAAATACATGGGACTAAATCGAGGATAGAAGGGTAGAAGCAATACAAAAAGAGGGAACACAAGAAAATGAAAACCAAACAGACCACAGAAAGGGGGAAATCTGAGTAAACTCTGATCTTAATGAGTAAATGAACACTACATGTCAGAGAACCTCGCAATTTAGCTATAAGATTGCTCCAGACATGCATGAGGCTTGGTTATTAAACTCAAATGTTCAGGCAAAACAAACAAAACTACCACAAAAGCAAATTTAGTTCCAACTTAATGATAGAAGACACTGATCGCTGAAACAGACAATTTCTGCATATTATTGAAGTCTTAGAATTCATGCCTTTGAGACAAAAACAACTTTTATTTAATTTTTAAATAAGCAATTAGGCAATACAACTTTAACAGAGCAGGATACAAAAAAATTTAAGAAACAATTTTACCCAACTATAATAATCGAGTAATACCAAAAAGCATGGAGTAAAACCAAACCCAGACCGTAAGTAGAAAAGAGGAAGACAGGCCCTGCTTGCAAAATTAACATCACGGTTCAATCTTTCAGACACATAAGATCTACGAAGTACCAAATTATATATGCACAGAATAATCTGAACCCAGAAGTAAGATTAATGCATAAGAAGATGAATTCTTAGGCAGATAATCGAACTAAGCAATCCATATAACTAAATGAACCCATATCGTCATAATAGTAGCGAAAAATGCAGATAGCAATTAAGTGCGAGGGAAGAGGAACAATCAGACCATGAACACGCAAGCCCACTTACTCCCATTATCCCAGGCATAAAGGACTGAAAAGGAGAAGAAAAGACCAGAGCGACACCAAAAAACCAACGATCAGGAATCAGAAATGAGAAGCAGATCTAGAGAACTGGATTTCGGACAGAAGAAAGGCACTTAACCAAAAGCCTTAGTGTTCATATTTCAGCAGCCAACCACCCCAGGGTAAAGCTACGATGGGCGGAATCCAATTAAAAGTAAATGAATAGGGTTCATAGAATCAGTAAGAGGAAAACCAAAACAACCGGGCAAAATAAAGACCATTCGTTATAAACACATATAAAACCTCCCAAAATTAGCAGTAGATTAAAAAAATAAACATGAAGTAGCGAAAGTAAAATCATCTCCAGCAGAAGCTTGTTACCCAAACAGTCAAATCCAAAACTCGTATGAATTGGAAGAAAGGAGAGAAAGTATAAGTAGACACCTGCTCTGCGTTACATCATAGATCTGTCCCTTGATGGCCATCAGCAAGGGTTTGTTAGGGTCCGATCCATCATATGCCCTCAACTCCTCTTCAGTGATTTCCCCAAGTTGAACAGGAGGAGAAGGCTCCATTTGTTCTTGGAAATCCCTCGACCTCGGAGGCTCCGAAGGCCCAAAGAAGCCAGAAATTGCATAGTAGAAGGCGAAAGCCAAGGCCACCACCGTGAAAAAGGTAGCGGGAGAGAGTCCTGTATACGCAGTGATCGCCTCTCTCAACGTCTCCCAAAGCTGCAAAGCCATACTTTTCAATAAAAAGTACGCTGATGAGAAGCAGAAGCAGAAGAAATAAAAGCACAAGAAGCAAGCAGCAGAGAAAAATGGGGGAGATAGAACTAAAAAGTGGGATAAGAAAAGTCACCTTCTCTAGTTTTCTTCCCGAATTTAACCTCCCGTCGCCCCGACTATTCCCTACGCACAGAAATCAGTGAATTAGGACAAGATGATTTCCAATTAACATTTTCGCTATAAATTGCTGAAATTTGCATGAAGTTTGTAACCATTGCACAGTTTACGAAGAGTACAAATACATACAAAATAATAAATAAGACTACAAATACATACTCCATTTATACTCCTTCCAAAATGAGCCATTGCAAGTAGATTAAAAAAAAGGAAAATGACGCTCAAACCCACTTAAGAAATTTTAAACCCTAGAAAAAGCAGTATGTTAAATGGAGAGTCGCTACAATCCTTTGATATTTCAAAATTTCTGTGAACCCCCCTCTTCCACTCGATAATCATTTCATGTCATCTTCTACAATATTTTTGGACAAAATTACCCCCAAATATTTCGATTCATATCTCCACAGCTCATTACCTCAGTTCGAACGTTATGCTTTTCAAAAAAAGAAAAAAGTTGGAACGTTATGCACCTAATTCCCTCTAAGGGTGTCAATAGACTGGTTTTTATTGGACCCATCCAGTCCAAAATCAATTTGGACGGATTGGATGGATCAATAAGACATTGGATTAAACCAATCTGGTCTAAAATATTTATTAGATTGGATTGGGCGGCTTCAGTCACTGCAAGGCCCATTCGAACACTGTTCGAACAGTGTTTTATTTTATGTAGAGATATTCTCAATGCAAAGCTATCATGGTTGTTTGAACGGACTTTGCAGTGACTGAATCCCATTTCTTGGATTGGACCTAGTCCATCTGTAACAAATTTATATTTATATTGGATTGGGTTGGATTAAGTCAATATCTGATCCATTGATATAAGATAAGAATACATGTATCAATGGACCAGGTTCGGGTTGAAATCAGTCTAAATCAAAATGAATTTGAACAGATTGGATGGTCCAAACATTAAATTGGACCGGTCCAAATTGATCCAAAACATTCATTGGATTGAATTAGACCTGGTCCATTCATAATAGACTCACATTGGACTAGTTCGGATTGGAACAAATCTAGTCTAATTAACACCCCTAATTCCCTCCATTTTGAAGTTAATTGATGGACTACGCTAACAACCGCCTTCACTGTTTTGTGTATTTATCCCAAGAATAAGAGGCAACTAAGAGTTTATGAGAATGCTTCAATAGATCCCCTTGTTCTACACCATTGTCAATGGCCTGCTAATTCGTCGTTTTCAGTGTTTCTCCCGAGAATAAGAGGCAACAGAGAGAGAGTCCTTCTTGTATCCTAGAGGAGGAAGTCGCGGTTGCCCTTGGAAATCTAGGGCTCTTATTAGGTAAGTAGTTTCATTCGTTTTGCTAGAATTCTTTCGTTTTTTTTTTTTAATAAATCCAGAGAGGCTACACAAAATGGGGATAACACGTTCCCACAGCACATTGAACAAATAAAAGCAAGAGGCCAAGGAAACTTACACAGGTTCAACAAAACACAACCATCAATCGCCAATTGGCCAACCGTATTTCTACCGAGAACAAGAGGAAACAAGAGAGACAAAATTCGTCCTTAAGGTATCTTCATCTTGATATAGTATGTTTTTTCCATTGGAAAAGTTTTTTTGGTTTTGTTTTATGAGTTTGAATGATTAATCATTTCTCTTTCTTCTCTTTTAATTTGAACTTCAAAACTTGTTGGGTTTGCTAATTGAGAATGCATGCTTAATCAATCTCTTGTTCCACCGTTCGAAGCCAAATTTTTCTACCAACAATGATGTTGCTCGGCTCATTTGAATTCCCACATTCGTCCACTATCTCTAAGAACTGATGTTGCACAATCCGGGCACTCCTAGCGGGCAGTCGACTGGCTCCTACCTGGCGACGGACGGTACCTGAGAAGAATACGGTGAAGGATTCCCGGGGGACTTGCCCGGTGGGAATACTCTGATGCTTAAGTTAGAACACCTAAGAAAGCGGTAAGGAATGCGAAAAGGGCTAAGAGTGCGGGTAGCGGTAGATCTATGAAAGTTCGAGATTAACTCCAGATCAATTCAAGTTGCAAGATACCTTTTCCCTTTCGACCGTGGGGTTCTTAAATATGGGCGTTCTTGTCAAATCGGGGGTAACCGCCACTGGACCTCTGTCGTAGCCATTATTTGTCAGGGCTGCACGGGTAACCGTTGTAGAGTACTACCCAATCAGATGAGTGACACGTCCCGGAAAAGACAGACACGCCATCACCTGTCGAGAGACGTGGGTGCAGTCTGCCGGGCTGGTAGGGACTTGTCTTGGAGTATTCCCTTTCAGCATACTGAGGTTCTCGAGCACGCGCTGTAGCGAGATCATTCAATGGCGAGTTGTAATATAGCGAGCTGTCCTGTGAGGACCTTAACGAGCTCGCTACTCAGTCGTAGCCAGGCTGTCATGTTGAGCTGTTGCTTATGCTGAGTCATGTCCACGTGTGACCTTCTCAGGAGGTTGGCTTAAATCTCCCTCCATCAATTGCCCCCCACTCCTCGAGCTAAGGATTATATTCTACCGCGAGGAGTTCATGGAGTGTGACGGGTGGATTTGACTCGAAATTCAAACTTGGTTGATTGATTGCATTAAATACACGCGCGAAAGTCAAGGGATTCCTAGGTTTTTCGAATGCCAAAAAATGCGTCAAAACAGCACTCAGTTCCAGAAGTCGTGCAGCCGGCATTACCTTAATCATGGAAGACGTGCAGCCAGTCACATTTCGGTTTCAAAAGACGTGCGGTCAACTTGACTGCGAACCGTCAGATTTGCCTTAATCTAGGTCGTTGGCTTTGTGGGCACAATGGCTATAAATAGGAGGGCCCCATACCTCATTTCCTTTACACTAACTTGCCTTGCTTTCAGACTCTAAGGTCGCGCTTTCACCTAGCTGCTCGAGCTCTTCTTCCTGTTCACATCATCTTTTCGGTTCAGCTTTCCCTGGTGAGTCTTATCACTTTATCAGTATGTTTGGGTACCCGTACGTCTTTCCCCGGGGCGGTAATCAAGATGACGCCCCCTCGAGGTCAGGGGGAGCTTGGAGGCAGGTTTCGAAAGCTCGGGAGGTCTCTGGCGAGACGGCTTCCACCTCCCAGGGCAGGGAGCCAGATAGCTTTGGTCCTTCCTCTATGTCAATGGAGAGGCTTAGGACCTTGGTTCTTCAATTTAACCTCCCTAGAAACCTTATCTATAGTCTCCCATCTAGTGACTACCCATGGGAACACGGTCCCGATGAGATCGTAATCTTCCAGGAGCAGCTCATCGCTAGCCTCCGTCTTCCTCTACGTCCTCTGATAGTGGAGGTTTTGAACCACTTCAACGTTACTATTGACCAGCTTCACCCCAACTCGATCCAAAATGTAGTTGGGACTACTTCTTTATTTTATGACTATTGTCTTCCCCTTAACCTTGACATCTCTACTATTCTTTCTATCAAGAATGCTTCCCCCGGAGCGCCCCCAAAAAAGCGTTCCTATTATTTTTCTCCCCGTCGCGGCTTCAAGCTCTTACACGAGCTGCCGAACAGGATCCCGGCCTGGAAGCGGGACTATTTTGTAGTTCGCAACCCCGAAGGATGGCCCTTCCCAACCCATTGGAGGGTCGTCGTCCAGGATTCGAGTGTTGACTTGGATCCCAAAGTTCGGGAAACGCTGCAATCCTGGGCAGCAGTTGGCTTCCATTGGTCAGACTATTTGACTGACGATAAGCTCGCGCAGGCCGGCCTGAGCCCTAGTAGGTTGCCTTATAGGTCGGTCGCGTAGTGCCTTGTAAATTTTTTTTTTACTGGACTAATGCCTTGTGATTTTTGACAGCCATCATGTCTGGTGTAGATGCATGTCGTCTTCTATCCAGCAACCAGAAGCACAGGCCAAAGAGGTTGCGCTCTGACCAAGCTTCCACTTCTGAGAGCGTTGAGTTCAAGGTTGCTGATCCAGCCTTCATTTCTCCACCGCCTGAGGTCCCACCAGTCCCACGAAAGGTGGCACAGGAGAGCACGAGGTCCCAACGCAAGGGCAGTTCCCTCCGTTCGAGCAGTCCCACCCCTTCGCCTTCCCGTAGTTCCCTACCGGGAACTGGGAGAGTGTCACCGACTTCATCGTGGCACCGCGAAGGAGCCGGAAGGCAGTCTCCCATGAGGAGGTCGCCAGTTGGGTAGGGATGGACCCCAAACAACTCGCCAAGCTATCCTTCGCCCACTGCATGGTGCTAAGTGGCTTTTTTCTTCCTTCTCTTTCTCTTCTCTTCTTTTCTCTTTTCTGACCTCAGTCTTTTGTTGGCAGCTGAACTCCGCCATCCACGCCATGGCCCTCCAGACCAACATTCACTCCAGCGATGCTCTCGCTCAGAGGTCAACCGTGCAGAAGCTCCAGGGCGAGCTCGACCGGGCCCGAGGTGAAGTCCTTCAGGCTCGAAAGGGGAGCGAGGCCCAGGAGCTGCTCGTTCGGAACCGGGAGGCACAGATCGCCCGGCTATCCAAGGAGAGTGCTCGCTATCGGGAGGAGTAGTCGAGGGTGGCAACGGAGAGGGAGCTTCTTCGCTAGTAGGTCCGAGACTTGGAGTCCACGCTTCAAGATCAGACTCGGAACTTCGACACCATGGTGGAGGCTGAGCGAGCTAAGGCGGTGTGGGACTTCAAGGACTCCCATGAGTACCACGACCTCTAGGTGGAGTATGGCTCGAGCTCCTTCCGCTCTGGATTTAAGCTTTGCCGCTGGCTGGTCCGGAAGAAGTTCTTCGGGCTCAACCTCGATGGCATAACAATGAAGGGTCTGGATCCGAAGACGGCGGACCTAGCAGAGGAGGAGGAGTCTGACTCTCCGGTGGATGACGAGGATGTGGAGGCGGTGAATCCCTGAGGTCGATTGCTGCTCTTCTGTTTTCTTTTTCTGAATGGATTCTGGTGGTTCTCGGGTGTTAGAACTCGATTTTAAATATCTCTTTTTTGATGAACTCTCTTGGGCGGTTGGGCCCTACTTTTTTTTTGTGTTGGACTTTTTCCGGGCTGTTAAGCCCGATTTTTTGTTTATAGAAATGGAATGTTTTATCTTTTTCT